ATATATATATATATATGAAGATTGAATGTCCAAAGAAAATACATTTGATGTAAATATTTATAAAATATGTAATATTGCATGTAATTATTCAGTGAACACAACAACATAAGAAACAATGATCTAAAAATTAAAAAAAAAATCTGCTTCGAAAGTTTTCTAATCCTACCTCCACTCTACCTCATGTTCCTCCACCATTAGCTATTTTCCTCTACATGTGTCACAACGCATCTGCTCCATCATTTATTCTATAGTAGCGAGTCAAACTTTCAATTGAGCAATTACTCGTGCCTTAATGTTTTTAGCAAAAGCTATCATATGCCTTCTAACCAAATCATCAATCGAAGTGGTGCTTTTTAAGAAAAATAATGGTATGCTTCGTACGCCGCACCATATATGCCTAAGTCATATATTTTACTTTTCTTTTTCCCTCAAATGGTTTCTCTTTATATGTCAAACTCTGATTGCTCAGATTGTCCACATGACATCTCATACTTTTTGAACTTTGGCCATGCACTTCTTTCAAGTACTCATCCTACAAGAAATTGTAATGTGATTAAAATAAAATATATTTGCAAATGGTTTATAATTCAAAAACAAATATTTTGATTACCTATGCTGTTCGTATCCTTGCATCAACCCACTGTTTATCCGTTTGATACAAATGTGTTCTACCATGCAACTCTACTGTCGTGGTTATTTTCCAAGTATTTGTTTATGTAAATATATTTAAAAGTTAGTAAATATTACTTCTAAAATTTATTGATATTTGTTAAACACAAATTATGTGAAACCGAGGATCTAATATGTAAAGAGCTTCCTATGCCCTCAATTTAATTCTCGGTGTTATCTTTCCTTCTCCCTTTTGCGAACATAGTTGAGAGGTCCAGGTTGTGCACTAACTCAGCCCACATAGTTGAGAGGTCCAGGTTGTGCACTAACTCAGCCCTCCAGGTTTTGCACTAACTCAGCCCACATTATCTCTGTAATTTAGAGAGGGCCTCTACTCTAGATCGATAAACATATCACACAAACAAGTTGTGCCCTTGATCTCAAAATTCCTTCTAATTATCTATTTATGCTCTGATGATCACCAAACCATTTTTCGTAATGTAATAGCTATCATTTAAATTCGTTATAACTAGAACTTCAAGTACTATTTAAATTCACTCATGCATATATCACGAATTTTCATTGGTATTTTTTCTATGATAAATATAGAGTATCATTTTTGCTCTTTATTTTGTTTGTGGTCTTATGTATTAACTATCTAGAAGCATTAAAACTAAAAACACAATTTTGTTATTATCATTATATATGTGAATAATAGTAGTGAAAAGTAATGCTTATAAATTTATGTATCTCCGTCCGGCTCGATGTAAGGGCATTACATGGGTGTACCACATTATATTCTTAGTAGCAGTCGAAAGACCAGCCTGGCATGGTGGTGGCGGTGGTGGTACTGTGTGGTGGTGTTGGAAAGAGTAGAACAAAGTGGTCTCAATAGGATCTTGGGAGTAATATGTTGATCTATGTGTTGGAAAGAGTAGAACAAAGTGGTCTCAATAGGATCTTGGGAGTAATATGTTGATCTATGTGTTGTTGTAATATGGTGTGGTGAGATCGGCAGGAGCTCATGGTGGTGACAATATCTAGGACGAATACCGGTCTTCTTCTCGTGTTGAAAATGGCCGTGATTGATCTACGAACGACATCATCATTATAACTTAATGCCGTCTGAAAGAAAAAAAAATTAAAGGATTGGATCAAGTAAAGCAGATCAATGTAATAAAATTTTAAAAATAGTGTATAATTAACTACGTGATATATAGGAAATAAAAGAGAAATATTTTAGCCATGCAGATGTTATAAAACTGAACTCTGATTGGCAACCAAAACCTAGCAAGAAGAACAACGCCATACTTTATTTGATAGTGTTATCAACCCCTACTGATAGAGGTGAAACTTCTGACTATGGTCCTAAAATTTCATCTAACATAGTTTATGATAGGGATGTTAAATTTATGTCATATTTTTCGAAAAACTTATGGAAAATAATGGGAATACAATTGATATTATCCTCGGCATTTTATCCCAAACTGATGCCCAAGCTGAAGTTACCAATAGAATTTTAGTCAATCATCTGAGAAGTTTGGTGGGGAAAGCTTGGGAAATTGGGTTATACACAGTTGAGTTAACCTATAACACTACTGTTTCAAAACAACCAATGGAACATTTGAAATAGCCTATGGGTATAATCCAAGGAAACCAATTGATCTGACTAACGCACCTTATCATACAATTTCTGATTTAACCTTCACATTTGCATGCAATTTGCATAGCCTTTATAGATGATCTCATTGGGAATCTTATGAGGGTGATTATATTTTAATTCATTTTTGGCCTGAGATATCCTCTTCATAGTATAGCAAGTTGCGAGAATGGGAAACTGGCCCTAGTGCTTTATTTGGGGAATTATCCTTCGATTCTCTTTTTAAGCTATTTTATCATATGAAACTGCACAATTTTGTAATTCTGAGGGAAACCTGTGTTGTTGGTTAGCCGTTTCCTTTCCAACCCATCTTTGATCTAAATTTTATAATTGATGAGCCACCTACAGATACAATTACGTTTCTTATTAGATGGACAAAATCACATTATTGAGGAAGATGCATTAGGTTATGAGTTGAAGAAGCTTGCCTGTAAGTTGTTGGAGGAATGTATGGGCAAGGAAGAGTTCTTTTGAATCATTGGGGGATTGATGCAAGACAACTGTAATAAAGGACAACTACTAGTCTTTGATTAGACCAAATAATATTTAAATTTTTTTTATAATTTTATTTTATATTAGGAGTTTTAATTGATTTATTTAAAGTTGTTTTGATATAATTTGGTTGAAAATGCTAAGCTGTTTGTATGGTAGAATTTTACTCCAAATCGGTGCATATTCTCATGCCATTGTTGTCACCCATTTTGTCAAGTCATGGTCGTCCTAGTCAAAATAACCATAACAATTATTTTTTGAAAATTTAAAGGGTTATTCCATTTCCCCATATATTTAATGTATTTGATTGTCTTTGAACTTTAAATATCGAGTTATGAATCAAAAATAAGTTTAAAGGAACATTTATTAGAAGTTGGCTACTATTTAGATTCTTTATTTTCTCAATTGTTGTTTTTATAATACCTAGTAATATATAAGAAAAAGGATCTTGAAATACAATATAAATTAAATTGAATAGATATTCTTCCTCTGAAATGCTTGGTGGCTATGTTTTTATTTCTTGTTTTGGTACCTAAAACCACCCCTCTTTAGTGAGTTTTATTTTACTTTTATTTTCTGTTGTTTCTTACTATTTTAATTCTCATATTAACTTAGAGAAGTAACATAATGGTGAACTTCACTTTGTTTAGGTTCTCTATTTTGAATTCCTCCATAGCTTCAATCAAGCGAATCACATTTCTTCTCTTAGGCTTACCATGCCCTAGAAGTCTCCTTTTTGTTGGTCTTAATGAACACTCTTTTTTTTCTTTTCTAGATTTCTTAATGAGCTTGATGCTTTGGGAGGATCATCTTGGTTGGCATATAATGTCAATTCAAAAAGCATTGGTACTTGGAACAGTCCACTTGGTGCCCTTATTGCAGGCATCTGCCAGATTGGTCTTTCAGGTTGGAGACCTGAGGAATGTGCTGCTATAGAAAATGAAATTCTTGCATGGAAACAAAAAAGTTTTTCTGAAAGTGAAGGTAAGCTTCATGGTTTTTGGTTTGGTTTCGTACATAATTTTTAACTTTGAATTACGCTTATAAACATTTTTTGCGGGTTATATAATGAATTTTTTTTGTTTTGGTTTTTTAAATGTTTTGTTAGGTGATGTGGATGGAAAGCATATCTGGGCTCTGAGGCTCAAGGCTACCCTTGATAGAGCAAGGAGGATGATTGAGGAATACTCTGAAGCACTGCTCCAAATATTTCCCGAGAAAGTTGAGGTTAGTGGCTTTCATTTATATTTTTTCTTACTTTCTTAAGGCGATTAAAGTTCAATTACGTGGCTAAGTAGCAAACATGACTCGAACTATCATACATTTAAGTTTATTATTTTATCTACGGTTTCTAGAATTTCTTAATATTTTAATTCCACTCATGCTTTTTTATTCCAAAACTTGTTTCTTTTTGGTACTTTGTTCTTGTAGGTTGCAGCCTAAATTGATATTCTTATTGATAACATTTTCTCGCTAATTTAGATTATGCATGCTGACTTTACCTTGATTTTATATTTCATTGAAGTTTATTTTAATAAAGCTGCTTCTCCATCTACCTTATAAATGTTAAACTGCTGAGAACCTCTGCTATTCTTGAAATTGCAGAGGTTGGGGAAAGCACTTGGAATTCCTTCAAACAGTGTAAGAACATACACTGAAGCTGAAATACGTTCCAGGTATTACTTCTTGAATCATTTTTAAATATCAATGTTAAGCTTCCCCCTTGAAGGAATTTCATATGCCCTTTTTTCTAAGATTATTGATTTGAAATTGTTTTGCAGCATTATATTCCAGGTTTCAAAACTTTGTACCGTCCTTCTTAAAGCATTACAGACTACACTAGGTTCATTGGGCTGGGATGTTCTTGTCCCAGGCGTGGTACATGGAACCTTTCTGCAGGTGTGCAAGAACGTATTTTCATTAGTATATATGAGAATGTACATATCGAATTGATCTATTTGATAGGAATAATGAGAACAATTCCCATTCCCAATTTTGCTAGTGCTTAGGATTAATTAGACACTAAACCACGCCACAAAATAACATGATCGCACAAGATCTAAGAAAACTGAAATAAAGTCTAAATTGAAGCACAATCATAGCAACCAGAAAAACACACGAGAATTTAATCTGGAAAAACCTAATCCTAAGAGAATGGGAAATATTACGGAGCCACACCACCAAGAAATTTCACTATAAAATTCGGAAGGTTTTTACAGAGAGATCACACAAATTTCCTCTCAACACACAAGGAAACTTACAGGACTTGCTCCAAACCCTTCTTGCTTCAAACTGACGTGAAAAAAACACTTCGAGATCCCATAAATCCTCAACTCCAGTACTTCTCTCCTTCACCAGGAATTTGTCGAAAAACTTTTACAAGAAGCATTACACCCAGAGCATCTCTTATGCCGCTTGAAATTGGTCTTAAAACTAGAATATCGAAGTAACTGCACCAGGCACTTAGGCTTCCAAACTTGGCAACTAAGCGTCAAGCTTTCTTTCAGTGTCGAAAATTGGGCGCTTAAGCGCTCAAAAGGGGTGCCAAAGCGTCCCTCCCTCTGTCTGCACCCAAACAAAGTGGATGTTTGAGCGCCTAAAGAGGGCGCAAAGGTCCTACCTCTCTATCGACGTCAACATGTGGGCGCTTAAGCACTTATAGGGGTCTCTTAAGCACCCAAAGGGGGCACAAAAGCTTCTCCGCCACAGTGTTCGCCCACAAATGTTCTGTCTTCATTAGCGTGTGCAGGTGGTTCTACACCTAACAATCTCCCATTTAGAGACTAAAATACCAAACTCTAATCCTCTGTACCCGCTCCTCTATCAGAATCTCTTTCATAGTCACGTAATGTGGTAACGTACTATGGTGTGGCTCATCCTCAGTCTCAACTTTCATGAAACCCAATTGAAGCCAAACATAGCAGTTTCTCAACAGTCATCACCTTCGTCAACACATCCACTGGATTTTGAACTGTATCTTCTCCTCCGAGAACAACTGCTCAACACATCCACTGGATTTTGAACTGTATCTTCTCCGAGAACAACTGCTCATCTTCAAGGAGAGAGTGAATAAAATGATACATCAACTAAATGTGTTTTGTTCTGGAATAAAAAAATAATATTCTTAACAAGATAAATCACACTCATGCTGTTATTGTAGAGTTTTCCAATCCTCTACTTCTTGCCCAGTTCTGTCATAAAACTCTGTAGCCAATTCATCTCCTTGCTAACCTCAGTGATAGTAATATATTCAACATCTTTAGTTGAAAGTGCAACATCTTCAACAATCTGAAAACCCAATTCACCGTTGTGCTCCCCAATGTAAGGACATATCTTGTTGTATTTCTTCTATTGTCTATATCTCGTGCCAGATCTGAATCTAAAAATCCCTGTAGATTGATCCATGCACTTCTATCGTAAAGTGCCCTGTTGATTGTTCCCCTCAAATGCATGAGAATCAACTTTAACGCCTCCCAATGATGTCTTTCTGGTTTGCCTATGTACATACTGACCACTCCTGCTGCATATATAATATCTGTCATGGTACAAACCATCGCATACATCAAACCTCAAGTTGTTGAAGATACAGAGTTCCACCATCTATGCTTACTCTGCTTCATAGTTTGGCAATAGCTCCTTTGTTAGTTTTAAGTGACTACATAAGGGAGTGCTAATTAGTTTCGCCTCATGTTGAACCTCTGTATGATCTTCTCACCAACTCTGCTTGAGGCAACTTCATTGTTTATGCACTCTTGTTGTTGCTGATTCTCATTCCGAGAATCTTCATGGTTGGACCTAAATCCTTCATCTAAACCTCACTTGATAATGATTTCTTTAAGTCCCTAATTTTCTTTATATCTGCCACTGTAATTAATCTATCATTTACATACAAGAGAAGCAAGATATAACAGTTATGAAGTGTTTGATGAAACATCAGTGGTTTGCTTGACACTTGTTGTTTGACATGAACCTTTCAAACCTCCTGTACCACTGTCTCGAGGCTTGCTTCAAGCCATAAATGCTCTTCTTCAACTTGTAGACCAAATCTTCTTTGTCTAAAATCGTATAACATTTTGGTTGCACCATGTATAGCTCCTCCAGAACTTTATGTATGAAAGCTATTTTTATATCCATCTGCTCCAGATGTACATCTTCTTCTGCTACCAGACTCAGTACAACTCTAACAGTCGTCATCTTCACCATTGAGGAGAAGATCTTTGTATTATCCACTCCTTCCCTCTGCTTGAAGCCCTTCACAATAAGTCTTGTCTAGTAGCGCTTGCTCCATCTAAGATCTCTGTATTACCCACTTGTTGTGTAGTGCTCTTTTGCATTTGGTTGTACCGTCAAATCCCAAGTTCGATTTGACTCCAATCCAAATCCAAAGATTGCATTTCTTCATCCATGACAAGCTTCCACTCTCTTGATTCTTTAACTTGAGTGACTTCCTCAAAACACTCTGGTTCACCACTATCAGTTAGTAACAAATAGTGTAAAGAAAAAGATTGTCTATGTATAGGTTGTATCATTCTACTGGATCTTCTAGGTTATGTTGTCATTGTCTCAAGAACTGACAGTGCTCCTTTTGGTTGAGCACTTCTTCTTTCTCTACTTTATGGATCACTAGTGTCACCTATCTCTACATATCTGGATTCTTCAGAAGTAGCTAACGAGTTGTCCTGAATTCTGACCCTGTCCTTGTACATCTCTATTTCATTAAAAGTGGCGTCACTGCTTCTAATGAATTTCTAATTCTGATAATTCAAAATTTGTACCCAAATTCATTTGAGCCATACCCAATGAAAGGGTATTTGACAGATTTTGAGTCAAGCTGCATCAACATGCACATATGTAGAACACCGAGATACTCCTGAATGAGAAATACCTTTTTGTTATTCCAGGATGGTGTTATTAATTGAAAGGTGCCTTCAATGTTGCCCTGAGCCATCATTAATGCCTCTTGGTCACCTTCCACGAATCACCTATAAAAGTAGTCACGAGTCCTGACTTTGACAATATCATGACCAGGCCTAGGGCTTGGAATTAATCAAGATGAGAACGAATGATCGGACTGTGAAAATTAAATCTCTGCTATTCTAATTTTATCACTAATAATTTAGTATTCAAATAATACATGAAAGAGCCATCAAAGAAAATAATTAAAATTAATAAGTTGAAATTTGTACCTTTCTTTTTGTTCTCATCTTTTATATACATTTAATTCTCCTATGGTCAACTTGTTCGAATGTTTAAAATCTAAAAATCATATTGAAACAACATAATGTGTTATTTAAAGATAATCTCGCACTACTAAACTACAATAATCCAAGGAAAGAAGTATAATATGTTTGTGTGTCTATAAGAAATCGTATAATATATTGGTCATTCATATTTATTTATAAGCAATTTGATATATATTTATTAACAATCTGATATATGTTTATAGGCAATTTAAGATACGTTTATAAACAATAATGTGTATGTTAATACATTTATCAATGGCCTTTTCTAAATGAACACACACTAATCTTTTATATGTTTTTTATCTTTACTTTTATTTTATAGTTTACATACACATTTGTCTCTGTGTGGATTACTGTCAATAAACCTAACACATCTTTGATCGATTTTGTCTCGTCGGGTTTTGTCGACACAACGATTAGCGATCTACACATTGCAATTGTTTAGGATGGGAAGACCCTTACCTGCCCCCAACCAATATTATTCCGTTGGCACAGCTGTTAGTAATGTAAACATTATAATTGTCTGGGAAAGTAAGCTCTAATATACTCATCCTTGATTGATATTACCCTCTCGGCATAGCGGTTAGTGAACTAATCATCATAATTGTTTGGGGTGAAAGTCTACACGCACAGGTACACTGACGTCTCTTGTTTGTATCATTCTAGGGTGAGATTCTTCTTTGAACATGCACATTCAAGCATTCACATATAAACTATTTCATTATTCATATATATTATTCTGAAATATCTTTATGCATCTACAAACATGCATATTTATTCTGCTGTACAACTACTTATCAGACATATCTTTCATATCATTTGTATATCTATTTCATGTATATCTCTTACTTATATCTTGCTTATCTTTTCTACATGTCTATCTTATATGTCTATCTTACATATAATGTTTATCTAAATTTCATTCATCTCATGCATATCTTTCATGCATGCACATCTTTTCTTATCATGCATATCTTTCTTATAAATATGAAGGATCTGTTTAAGCTAGAACATACATGAAATCAAACATACAGTCTAAAATAAAATAAAAAAATTGTTGAAATTTAGAAATGTAATTTCTCACCTCAATTGCGTGCTAAACTCTTAATCTTTGACAGTTAGCTTGAGGTTGCGGTGACTTTTCTATTAACTCAATAACCTATAAAACCTAATATACTCATCCTTGATTGATATTACCCTCTCGTCATAGCGGTTAGTGAACAAATCATCATAATTGTTTGGGGTGAAAGTCTACATGCACAGGTACACTGACGTCTCTTGTTTGTATCATTATAGAGTTTGTATCATTCTAGGGTGAGATTCTTCTTTGAACATGCACATTCAAGCATTCACATATAAACTATTTCATTATTCATATATATTATTCTGAAATATTTTTATGTATCTACAAACATGCATATTTATTCTGTTGTACAACTACTTATCAGACATATCTTTCATATCATTTGTATATCTATTTCATGTATATCTCTTACTTATATCTTGCTTATCTTTTCTACATGTCTATCTTATATGTCTATCTTACATATAATGTTTATCTAAATTTCATTCATCTCATGCATATCTTTCATGCATGCACATATTTTCTTATCATGCATATCTTTCTTATAAATATGAAGGATCTGTTTAAGCTAGAACATACATGAAATCAAACGTACAGTCTAAAATAAAATAAAAAAAATTGTTGAAATTTAGAAATGTAATTACTCACCTCAATTGCGTGCTAAACTCTTAA